TCAAATTTGTTAGTTTTCGTACTTTTTGAATTATGATCAGATATGCAATCAAGTCCCATATCTGTTTCATCTGTTTATAAAATGAGATATTAATAATTAAAATCGATACTATTATTTATTTTACTTTACCAAGGGAGGGACGTAATTGTACGTCATTTGCTTCTACTTGATGTTTTACAAGATAGTGACGACGAAGGTTATTGCGTATGTCTGTTTCAAAAAAGCATAAATCACACACGTAAACATGCTTGACGTTAACAGGTTTGACAACAGGCGGTGCTTTTGGCTTTTCATTCAGTTCCACTCTGTTTTTGGGTTGTAACTGCTTTTGAGTAGGCTGAAGTTTATGTTTTGTTTTATAATGTTGCGTCAAATCATCCTTGAAGAATGTATAAAATGAGCATTGATCACAGAAGAAATGTGGTATTTCTGCAATAATTATAAATTATTATATATATACGTGTATACTATCATATTTTATTTCATACCATTATGCGTTAACATGTGATTTTTAAGGATATCCTGAGAAGGAAAGACTTCTGTACATATTTTACAATTAATTTTTTTTATTGGTTTTTTGTCTGATATCAAAATGGCATTTTTCTTATCATTGACATGGTGAGAATTAAGTACATCTAACCTTCCGTTTAGATTATCTATAAAGAATTGATATATAAAATAATTATAAAAATATTTATATATTATCGTTTAGTAATTATATTATAAACTGATTTACGAACTAATATTGTTTTTTTTTACAGTTTTCGTTAGTGGCTATGATGTCCCTTGTATTGACATTACCATGCTATATTCAATTTTATATAATAATGTAAAATATTTCATTTAAAAATAAAATCTCTTATTTCATGAAACACATCCAAAGTTTATTATTTATTTGTTTTTCCTAAAAAGAAAGGCCATCAGACAAACATTGAAAACTGCTTTGGAGTGCATTTAGATACGTTCTATTTCTTCTACAACTTAAATTAAATTTAATTTTTGAAATCAAATAAGACCTCTAACTTTTTTGGAAAATCAGAAAAAAAGTAACAAAAAACTTTAAATACAAATAAAAAAGTTTTATCCAACTTTGGCGCGTTACGGGCAGAAAACAAGCGTAATAATTGCGTCTAATTTGAAAGGGTTAGAGTTTAACGCCTAACACTTTTAATCAATCAATTATATACAGACTTATAAAGCCAACGAATATTTCTAAAGACCACTGACGAGGAGTATATGGCAATACACGGATTAGCTATATGATTAACCAAAAACATTAAATTAATTTAAATAAAATTTTATTAAATTTTACTACTATTCAAAAACCCGCCTTTTCTCTTAAATACAAGAGTTTTAGTAACGGATCAATTTAAAAATAAAACTGCTAAAATATATTAATTTGGGTTATCATGTACTCTAGACATTACACTAGACTTTACACCAATTGAAAAATATTGTGAAACCACGAATATATTGTGTCTTTTAAAAGTTATGTTTAACCTAAATTTTAATGTGAAAAATTTCTTATTGTTCTAAAACATTAACGTTGTGGTATAATAGTTATGCCATTATGTAGTCTTTTGTGTGTTTTCTCAATAAACTTCTAAAAATCAATGTCACTTGAAGTAAAGAAACAGCCAAATAGTTCAAACTTTCCAAAACCTGGATTGGTAACCACAGAATAATAGTTTAAATCTCAATCTATCTCAATGTCTCAAAATAATAAAAATTAATTTTCATTCGGAATTAAAATTCATTTGTGACAAAAAAACATTGTTTCATTTCTCATTTTCAGAATCGATAACATATATATATAAAGTTAAATCATTTCACTAGAGATAATTTTATCTATATAAATCCTATCGTTATTTATATTTATAAATTTATCAGGATAGAGCCAACTGTTACTACTGAAAAACAATACATAAATGACCCTAATCTTCTTACCATTATGCGTAAGCAAATGGACTTTGAGATCATCTTCAGTATTAAAGGGTTGCAAACAGATTTTACAATGAGATTTGCTAATGTTCGACATGTTAATTATTGTTGGTTGTGTTAACAATGAGTTAAAATTAGTATTTTCTAAAAAAAAGCATTTATAAACAAATTGTATGTTGTAAAATGAAACTATGTTACTTACCTTCAGCTATTTCTGATGCAACATTCTCTTCAATAATAATATCATCAACGTCCATGCCCATGCCATCATTAGTTCCCACTTGTAAAAGATTATTCAGTACTAAGTTATTGTCCAAAGTAACACTTCCATCAACTGCATCTATGTACTCAATGACTACGCCTAAGGAAATATTCAATCAATAATACATTAATACATTTATTTTCTTATAGATCGTGTAATATATCATATATATTACCATTGCTCATAACTTCCTCCATAGTGCCATCAGCCATGACAACAAATTCATTTCCAATGGTCAAGTCGTTACCTATATTGTATTCACTAACATTGGACAGTTGTGCTGCGTCAATATTTGTTGCAAATTGTTGCGGTAATAGTTGCGTCTGAAACTGTTGTTCCGTACTAATTTGATGCAAATTAATCTGTGTTGGATGTATTTGTGTATTATTAGAAATTTGTTGAATTTGGGTTGTATTGTCCTGTAAAACATTTGCTATTTGTGTCGCATCCCATTCTTCAGGTATTGTTGAATATTGCAGTTCTATTTGTTGTTCTGGTAACGTGGCTGTAGTTAAATTTTCTATATCACTAACTTCTTTATAAACTTCGACTATTTGATTATCTGTTTGTGAAGAATTTGCGGCTTCAAAGTTTGTTTTCGGTTTTAATTCTTCTCTTTTGGCCTTACAGCCATGTATTATCTCATAATGTTCACATAACAAACTTCGTTTTTTTGTTTCGAAATCACACAGTTGGCAGCTGAATGAAATGATATCTGTAAATATAAAATATTGATAAAGATAATTATCCCAAATAATTAAATTGCTATATATTAATAGTAATTTAATATACACACTTAGCTGATGCTGTCAATTTATAGCTTGTTTCTTATAGCTTGGTTATATAAAATAGTTAGGAAAACTTCATAGGTTTTTGAATAAATTTTTAGCAATTTCCTTACTAATTGTCATTAATAAATTGATAAGGAATTGTCATTTAAATCAGACATTAGTTAGCAAAGTTATCATTTGGCATGTTACTACATCATAATAAAATGTGTAGAAACATAAGCTAAATTTTTTTTAAACAAATAGTTACTATGAAAAATACACTGTTAAATAGTTTAACGGCTTCGTTACTTCGAGATTTATATAAATAATAATTTAATGAATTCGGTTTAGCTCACAACATTGAATTTAGATTTTCATGGGATACACAACAAAAAAAAATCCAAAACAAAAAAAACAAGAAAAATAATTTTCAAATTAAGGGAGTATAGAAAATACTACCAAAGTGACAGCTGAATGCACTAAAAAAAAAGAAATTGAGAATAATCTTTAACATCATTTATTTAAGAATTTAAATTAAACTAATGAAGTCTAAATAGACATTTTCAATTTTAATACCCATTTTGATATTTCACTTTATATACCAGCTATGAAATATATACAACGAATTATCTACATTCTGACTAATGTTTACGGTCTGAATCGTATTTAAAGAATAAAATTGAATCGTTTATGACTAAAACTATAAAGCAATTGGTTTCACCATGTTAAAGTTTTGGATGTTTACTTGATAGCCTGTAACACATCTTGTATACCTCATGGAACATTTCTTTATGAAGTAAGGCTATAAGAACCCATTTACAATATAACTATATACATTTAAAAAAATATTTATATATGTTTATGATATATATATATATACATATATATATATATATATATATATTATATACATTATATATATGTATATATTATGTTTGTTTATTATATGTTTATAAAATATATAACATATTTAAATACATATTCATATATATATATTTATAAATAAATATATATAAATATATTTTGTAATTACGCATCCTAATAAGAATATTTTGGCGCCCATATTTGTTGCACGTGATTCATCATTTTATTTACCTTATTATTTTTCTTTACTCTATATAATATGAATATTAAAAAAAATTCTACAGAATATATTACTAACAACAAAATATTTAAAATGTTTTAAACTCGAATTTCGAAACTCTCAAAATACAAATTATAAATTGCAAATATCAATTACAACAAAAACAGTTGTGTTTACAAACAAGCGAAAACATTTGAAGAAAGAACCGAAAGAGAACGAATATTTAGCGTATGATATGTATAACAGCAAAACGTACCTAGATGCGATTTAACGTGTTCCTTTAGACTTTTTTTGTTTGAAACCTTCAGAGAACATATTTTACAACGAAAGCGCATCTCATTTTCTGTTGCAGAATCATTTGCTAAATCCTAAAGAAAAAAGCAAAAAACACATTAATCAAATCACAAATTTTT